TCTCTCTCTCTCTCTCTCTCTCTCTCTCTCTCTCTCTCTCTCTCTCTCTCTCTCTCTGCCTCCCGTGCTCCTTCTCGCTAGTCGTAGTCGTTGAGAAAGCGAGAGAGACTTTAGGCACTTCTTCCATTTCCGATACACACACCTCCAGGGCGACCCACGGCTCGGCGTCCTCGATTGACTTCTTGTAGGCGTACGACGACTTTCGCGCCGCGGTGGCCCGCTCACTCTCCTTCTTCTTGAACGACACCTGCTGCGGCTTCTCCGCCTCCTTGGTGCCGCCGTTATCAGGGTCGTCCAGATCCATCTCGATCTCCTGAGCCTGAATTGTTGGTTGATGGAGAGGGGGGGGCGTACTCTTATGTTTTGTATGCCGCAGTGGTTAGACCGTTGACCACGCGTCCTCGAGAGGACGGAGCATTGTTCCAACAGGACCGATCGCCGATGGCCAAACGTTCTTTCCTACTTTACCAAAGGTGGTTCGAAAACAGAGAAGGCGAGGGAGGGGGGGTGCACATGTGTAAGCGCACGCCGAGGCCGTTGACCTCGCATCCCTATAATGCCGAGCCGGTTTTGGCCGGCCCTGGTTGGTGGATTGATTTCATGCCACTACGAGTGGCTGAAGAAGAGACCGAGCCAAGGCACGTAGATCGCGGTGGGTGACGAGGCAGGGCACAGGGTGTGAGAGGGGCCAACGCACAGGCATGACGCGGAGGAACCAAGAATAGAAGAAGCGAGAAGGCATGGTGTGGTGACGGGCAGTGCCGGTGATGCTGGGGTTCATTGGCCCGACATCGCAATCGAACAGCGTAACACCAGGGAACAACGAGAGCAAGCGAACAAGGCGGGACTACAAGAACGACGCCACACGAGGACGCCCAAACAACCAACACAAAGCAGAGATTTCAAGAGACAGAGGTCGCACCGATGGCGCCGGGTGTTGTTAGAGTGGACTGGCGGGAGACGACAGGTATCAATGCAATCCTGTCCGTAGCGATCACTGCCGAAAAAAACGTACATAGCTCTAACCCTTCTATTTCGGCCGACAACTCGTATAGTCTCTTTCTTCTCCCCTTGTCTCTCTCTCTTGCTCTGCCTCCTCTCGTACTCCTCTCTCTCTCTCTCTCTCTCTCTCTCTCTCTCTCTC